GTCAGGGATTGTGCCAGCTGTCTAATTTAGTCTCGAGGCTTGAAGTCTCTCTCGCAGCGTGAGTGGTGTTGAATTTCTTTTCACACTCTTCATTGCCTATCCAAGCAGGAAGTGTCATCTCACCAAAGCTGGCAGAGGTCACTGTTTTAATAACTGTTGCTAATTGATGCTTCTGAAAAGCCTTCTATCAACTTGAATTTGCTACCTGCAGAGACTTGCCTAGCAGGTAGCTGAATCAAATTAAAACTTTAATTCCATGATGAATAAATCACGCTAGAACTGTGATTACCTTGTATGTGTTAAAATGGACTATTTCTCTAATCAGGTTGCCTGAAAACTATTGAGTCTCTTTGTAAAAATCTATAATATTTTAAATCCTGTTGCTGCTAAAAGCTTTAGGTTACATGTATGCTGAGTTTTGGTTCTGCAAAAAATTGCTGTTCCATGGTTCTTGGAATGAGTGCAGGCAGGCTCTGTGTCCTGATGCCTTCAGCAGCCCATGCTTCTGAAATATCACACATATGAAAAGAAATTATTAGCTGGGTTGAAAATAGTAACTGAAAGCCAAAAAAAAAAAAAAAATCTTGGAGCAAGTAAATACTGTGCTAGTAAGTGAGAGAATGTGTGGAGAGTTACCCCTGTTGCTCTCCAGAATATCATGAATCCTGATTCAACAGAATTGTGGAGTTTTTTTCATCTCAAATGTGATGTTTTCCATTGAGTGTGGAGGAAAGTTTACCCTCTTTCATATTACAAGTGAGTATTTCCCCATCCACCCTTTTTTCTCCATCTTACCAAGATCATTTAGCAAAGTTTTCTTTCTTCCAAAAGACCTCCTTGGAAAATGCTTATTAATACCTGTATTTCTGATCTGGAAATTGTTGTGTTGAGTGGATAAAGTGAACAGCATGCCAGTGAAACACTGTGGGATAAATGCCATTTAAGTCTTGTCTAAGCTGTTAAACATCACACTAACACTGGATTGCTGGATCTAATCCAGTAAAAATTAGAAAAAAAATAAAAAAAAAGAGGTCACATCAGAGAGCTAAGCCATCTGTCCAGTGTGGAACTGAAAGGCATTTATAATTAATTCCTTTTCTATACTGATGTCTTTTGGGGGGGCCTTTATGTGAATCAAAGTGATGGCACCAGACCATTTATCTGCAGAAATGGTTCCTGGATTATTTCTACATTGTCAGCCTGATGTTTTAGCACTGAAACTTCTCAGTGAGTGTTTTGCATAGATAATTAGGCCTTTCTAAACAGTATTTTCTAACTGGCTTCAGAAATGTCTTCTTGTCTGGTCCAGGCATTGTTCCTCTAATAGAGACCAGAGGATTTATGGATGCACTTACTGGAAAAATGGCAGAGATATTTTTCAATGAGTGTCTCTGTTACTTTATTGCTTTAATACTTGGTAAGATTTAATGAGGGGAGTCTTGTTGGTCAAGTCCATTGTTCTTTTGTGACTGGGATGCTCATGGATCTGGATTAGGAGATGCACATGGATCTGGAGTGGGACTCAGGCATTAATGAAGTTACTGGAAGCTTTTTTGAATTGAATGGGACTAACTTTGAGTGTTGCAACAAGTTGCCTTTTGAGGCCTAGAAGAATAAATAATATGAAATTCTATCTGTAAAGAGTTTAAATACTGTGCTGTAACACAGGAATTACTGGGTATGATCCTTTGCAGTCTGGCTTCAGACCTTTTTGAGCACCCTTTGCATCAGAGGAGGTGTGTCTAGACACTCTGTTCAGCCCTTTGTAGGTGAAACAATGCCTGTTCTAGTACACAAAATTTCAGCTTGTGCTTAATTCTGAGAATGTCATTAATTCCTTTTTTCTTAAGAGGAAAATAGGCCAAATGCTTGAGCAAATCTATTTCCATTTGCTTTTCCCTGCTCTGAATTATTCCTTCTGGGTTTGTAAATGCTCCTTCCAACCAGCATCTTTTGTATGTAGGAGAGAGCTGAGATATGGGAAGGACGTCAGAACTTACAAGTGCTCATTGGCAAAGTAAAATTAGACTTTTCTCCATCCTCAAGTGCTTCACTTCTCTGAGACTGGGCAAGAGGTTCTGGAACATAAATAGGAACTATCATATTTTTGAGCTAAAACTGGACAGAGATGTGTAAGTTGCGACTCTGCTTATTTTGGCACTAAATTAGCGTGGTTCAGTTCTGCAAAATAAGTTCCAGACAGCATCTTTTTCTCTGACCCTTTTTCCAGACAGCCTCAGGAGTGCACTTTATCTTGTCTTTATCATGTGTTCCTCAGTTTTTTTTCTCTGAAGTCATCACTAGTTACACTTTTACATTACTTTGCTGCTTCTGATTTATCATATCCATCCATCCCTTCGCAAGATGTTTTACCAGATGTCCTCTCTGAAGGGCAAATCTGTAGAAGAATTTTGCCTTAGATTAGGTTGTTTGTCATTTTATATTTGAGGCCACCACATAGTCGGGCTAATTTAGTAATTATATATGGATCTTTGAAGAATCCTTCTGTTCTGATGAGTGCTCAGGAAAGCCTGATGTCTACTTGGAAAAAAGGCAAAACAATGCTACATGTATCATGCTCTTTTATCCTATTGGCCTTGGATCTTCTCTGACATCCCAATGACTGAGAAGGAAAATGCTCCCAGTGTGGATGGTCCTGATAGAGTTGCCAAAGTATTTCCTGAAGCACCTGGGTTTAATTTTCTTTTTTGTCAGCTGATCTGTGAAAAGTGGTACAAAATTAACAGGCTTCTGAGCCCAGAAGGTTGTGGTAAGTCACCTGTAAGTGGTTTCAGAAGCTGATTAATACAAATGAAAAGATTTTTGGATTGCTCTATGTGTGATTTCATTTAAAGGGAAGACTTCACAGCTCTCTGTGAATTCCCTGTTCCACCTTATACTGCTCAGGTAGTACAGGGCGACAGTTGGGTTTGGGTCAGGTTTTAAGCCTCGTGGTCAAGACAAGTTTTACATTTTAAAAATAATCCTATCTAAGAAAGATTTCGAAGAATTGATTACCTCCACCCAGCCTGGATCCCATTTTCAAAGGATGTCTGCTGGGATTAAGCAGATGAAATGCCTGAGTCCAGCTGTTGTTCACGTGATTTAAAATGACTTGAATTTTCCATCCTTAATGCACTGTGTCAGTGTCTCGTTTTATGCAACTTCATATTTTGTTTGTCTTTAACTTCTTATTGCCCAAAGCTTGGAAGAACTTTGGAACACTTAAGGTGTGCAATAATCTGCATTGTGGTGTGTGAGGCTGTGCTGATGGAGAACCACAGACCCTCTCCCTCCTGTACCACAGTCAGTCATCTCTGTCCACTCCCCACAAGCAAGAGATTAATTTATCTGTGGAGCCTGGAGTAATTGCATTTACAAAACAACATCAACTCTCATGCTTTCTAAACTAAGTGTGGGGTTCAGTAACGTTTCCAGTCAGTTGGGTGTGTGCTGTTGATGTGTAGTTTGCTCATCCTGGAGCAGTGTCTTTCGTGCCTCCTCTTCCCAAGTGCTGAGGAAGTTCTTGGCTTCTGGGTGTTTTGGCTTTGCTTATCAGCAGCAAGTGTTAATGAGTCACTGCAGCGAATGGGGGAACTTTCTTGTGCACAGCGTGGATTAAGGATTTTATGCAAAGTTGTCATAACTCATTTCATTCTTTAGTTACTTTTAAAAGTGGGCTGATTTAACCAGCTGTGGAAGTGTAGCTTTCCTGATTTGATTTTATTTTTTTCTGGTTATTTTAATCCTTTGCTTTGTAAAGCAGCGATTGGAGCATAGGGGGTTTTAGCACTAACATTAGAACTGAATTACACTGAAGAGCAAGAATTCAATATTTTTGGCCTTTATTTAAACAGATTAAAGGGAAACAATTAGATGTTTTAGTTTTACTGTTAATCTAACTCGGGCAACCAATTTTTTCCAAAGTCTTTTTTCTTTTTTTTTTTCTTTTTTTTTCCCAGAGCACAAATGTGGCTTAGCATGAAAACAGTTTTATTGATGAATTTATTCATGCATCTGATCAAGCTGCAGAGTTTGCAGATGAATGTTGAGCAACCTGCTCTAGTGGAAGGCATCCCTGCCCGTGGCAGGGGGTTGGAATGAGATGAGCTTTAAGGTCCTTTCCAAACCAAACCATTCTGTGTTTCTGTGATAACAAGGGAGGTGCTCCTCCCTTCTGCTGGGTACCTCAGGAGAACCAAAAACAGTACCAGAGGACAGGTCCGAGCACAGACTGTCCTGTAAATACTCTCTGCTAAAGCAAATATTTGGATTTTAATGTGCCCAGAGGAGTGGCTGAAGGATCTGAGGCTTGCCCATGGGATGGGGTGATGTGCCCTGGGAAACCAGGTCTCCCTAAGTGTTAATGGATGTCAGCTCTTAATTTGATCTCAGGGAACAAGACAAGTGCATGCTGGCTCACCTTGGCCTGCAGAAGCAGGAGGGTTATACCCAGCAGGGAAGGATGTTATTTTACCTTTGTGTTTGATCACTCCAGAGGAACTCCTGCAATGTGCTTGGCAATTTCAGAGTCACCAGTGCATGAAATAAATTGGAAAGATTCGGGGGAAAAAAAAAGCACCCCGAAGAATAGTCTAAAGACTTTGATAAAACCTCTATCAGTTTAGTTCATCAAAGAGAGAGTAAGGACGTGACAGCCTCTGCATTCCTATGATGGAAGAGTAATTTTGATCATGTGTCCTTCGACCCCCCTGAGGAGAAGGTATAGAAATACAGTGGCAGGAGTTTGAGTCTGACAGATTTGGACTAAAAATTGCCTGGTTTTAAGGGCAGAGTAATTAATTTTCAAAACCACTTGCGTAGGGCTTTGGTTTGTTTCCTGTTATCAATGACTCCTTGAATTATACTGGCATGTGCTTTTGAAAAACAAGCAGAATTAATTCAGGAAAGTCCCATGAACATTGTTATAAAGGAGTAATAATCCCTGTGTGTGAGAAGGAGCCCGTGTGCTAATGCTGCTGTTTTGGTTTGGTTGGCAGATACGTTGATGATGTGATCAGTCGGATTGATAGGATGTTCCCTGAAATGTCTATCCAGCTATCCCGGCCAAATGGAACCTCTGCAATGCTTCTGGTGAGTTGGATCGCTTAATCCCCCCTTGAGTTGAATTTCTGAACAGGTTGAATCACTGTCCCTAAAATGCTGGTTATTAAAGATAATTCCTTTTGTTTTCTTTTTTTTAGAAACATACAATTTATTTGTCACAGCAGTGCAGCTTCTTTCTTGCTCTTAGGCAAATGAGTGATAAAAAGAATTTCCCCTTTCAATGAAAGATCTATTGCCTTTTTTATTGTTAAATGTGATTGTAGAAATATGAGCACAAACTCAAATATTCACCGTGGTTTTCAGCAGACTTGGCAATGAGTGAGTCTTAATCATGATAATTAAGAAGGAAGAGAGTGTTGTGAGGAAGAAAAGAAGAAGGAAACCAGTATGATTTAAATTTGTTCACATTGTTCTCGGGTCAGTGAGTTTCTGTTTTATGATGAAGTTAAGAATTTGCCTTTGAAGTAAATGAGCAGTAAAGGCTGGTCTAGAGATAAACAAGACCAATACATTCGACTTATTTCTGCCTGGCCAAGCAGGATTTCATTCCAGAGGAACCCGTTGTTCACATCCATTTCCATGGGCAGCTGTTGTTCTCATACAGGAGAAGTCTGTAAAGCTCCTACTCTGAGGCAGCAGCGTGGAAGTGGAGTCCATAGTGTGGCAGGTGGATGCTGATTTTCTCCAAGTAGTCACATCTTTTGCCAAATTTTAAATGAAACTGGAAAATACACCATATACACAGATATTTTGTCAAAACAAAACTGATGAGTCGATGTAAGTCAATGTTAGGACTGCGCCTCAAATTTTATATTGTGAGTTTATTGGCTGTAAAACACTACTATGGTTAGATTTTTGCTTGTATTTTTCTCTGTTGATTTCTCTATAGTAAGTCTTGCTGTGATTAATTTTAATTTTAAATTATTTTGAATTGTGGTTGGTTTTAATTAATCAACTGTCTAACATCTCGTTATTAACTTTCTTTGAACAGCCTCAAATTCACAAGAGATTAACTTGAGTCAGAGGTTAAAATAAACAGCTGGCATTAAAACATTTAATCTGCAATTGTTGGATTCACCGAGTGGAACAATATATTCCAGAAAAGAATGGAATCCATCAGTGCAGCCTTAAGAAGCTATAAGTCTTGGGAGTTTTTGCATTTCTGCTTAAGCTGAGTTTATATTCATCTTTTTGCTATAGAAAAATGTCTGGGTTTGCTTCTTTGGAAACCCTTTCCATTCTCTGAGAGCCCCTCTTTGCATATAGAAGTCCCTTGTACTTCTGATGGCTTTTTGAGGTCAGAAAATAGATAGATGATGCTGTACAAGATTCAGGCACAATTAGGACATAAGGTAAATTATCTTGGATGTGACTAAGGAATAAGGTAGGGTGGTAAGTGTAAAGGAAGCCCCTTTTTCCAGCAGCAGTAATGGAGTGAATTCCATGTGGCAGTTGCTCCCTAAATCAAGGACATTTTTGTTGCTACAAGATCGCAGCCCCGTGTTGAACCAGTGCTATGCATATTTCCCTTGGATCAGAGATCAAAAAGATTGTTTTTAAAGTATTTTTGTATGTGGTTGTGTGATGGGTTTATCATTTTTTCTTTCAGGCAGGTTTTCCCTCTTCCCCATCTGTCTCAGTTGATGTTGCCAATATGGCACTTTCCATCTGGCCCTGACTGCTACAAAAGCTTTTGCTGTTTTCAGGCACAGATCCTTCAGGAAAAGGTGCTGCAGGATGGGCAGTGTGAGAGCACCACCCCCAGAAGGAGGAAGGTTTCATCACCACTTGTGATTTCTCACTCTGAACTTAGCCCAAGTTACATCTGGAGCTGCTCCCTTGCAGCAGGGTGGTTTACCACAAGACCAAAGTGTTCAGATAGCGCTCATTTTATTTAAAAATATTTGACAACCATCCTGTTTGCCCAGAGTTAATTAACTGACTGTATAATCTCAGCCATTTTCATCCTTGCACTGTTCATGTCATACCTGATGTTGCTCATGGAAGTCCTTGATGTAAAAAGTCTGGTTTTCATGACATCTTCAAACACAATCATTCCAGCTACCAGAAAAAAGAACATGTATTCATCTTCAAAGGCACTGGTAAGCACTATCCATGTCTTAAGAATGTGTAAATGATTGGAAGGGGATGGGGAAGAAGGGAGACTCCTTGAAACTTCAGAAATGTTGGGGCCTTTGCCAAACAAATGATCTTTAGGGAAAAGACCCAGTACAGCAAGTTCCATCCCCGGGCTCTACAGCTTCACGTGCACAGGGAAATCAGTTCACGTCCTCAGCTGTAGAGGTGGGACTTGCACACTGGTAAGATTCATCTGGTGTTTCAAGAGGATGTGTTTCTCTTCAAGAAAGACAAAGAGCTACTGGAGAGGGTCCAGCAAAGGCCACAAAGATGAATAAGGAACTGGAGAGAGTGTGGGAGCTGGGCCTGGTTCATCTGGAGAAGACTGAGAGGGGATCTCACTAATCATCTCATCCAAGAGGGTGGTGCCAGGCTCTTTTTGGTGGTGCCCAGTGTCAGGATGAGGAGCAGTGGCCATAAACTAAAACACAGAAAGCTCCACCTCAAAGTGAAGAAGAACTTCTTTATGATGAGGGTGGCAGAGCACTGGAACAGCTGCCCAGGGAGGGCGTCGAGTCTCCCTCTCTGGGACATCCCAAACCCACTTGGACACGTTCTGTGTCACCTGCTGCAGGTAACCCTACCCTGGCAGGGGGGTTGGACTGGGTGATCTCCAGAGGTCCCTTCCAACCCCAAAAATTCTGTGAGTCCGTAACAATCAGCAGCTTTGGGAGCCTGTTGGTCAGACTCTGCTGATGAGTGACCCTTGTGCTCAGCTGGGCTCTCCTGAGCAGGGCACAGCTCTCACAGACACTGGGAACTCTAAGCAAAAATCAAAATAAACTGTTTCTGAGATCATGAATGCTGTGTCCTGAAAAGTTGCAACCTGCCAGTCCTGGAAGGTTTCTGCTTCCTCAGACAATCAGGAGGGTTTTTATGTTTCAGATTTACACGCAGCAATTGTTCCTCATTACTCTGGATTTGTGCTGCACAGGCCAAGCACATAAATAATTGAACCTTTTCAGAGCCCTGTGAAATCCTGGGCTGATTTTAAAGGCAGTTTATCGTGGCTTTTCAAGGTGCTGTTTAATCCCAATCTTCAGGAGTGATTTTTCAATTAAGCTTTTAATCACACTCAGTATAAAATAGACTAAACATAGAATTATATCAGCTTTAAGAACTGTGTTATGCAAAATTAATTTCCAGCAGCAGCAGAGGGAACTGTGGACTCCTTAAGGTTTTTGTGAGATTTCGTTGGTGAAATGCCAGATTGTAAATAGATAAACTTCATCTTATATATTAAGAAAACATTAACTGATTTTTAATTAACAAAGAACACCTAGATTATTACTTTTAGTTAATAATTAGTTGTATCCCTAGATACATACTACTTTTTTTCTGATACAGTAGTCACACCATCAAATTATTTGGATTGTTTCACACACTTTGTTTCTGTTACCAAAATTAAAATATTATTTTATGTGAAAAGAATCCTGGGTACAATTCATTCATCCATATCAGAAATGCTTTATTAAACAGTAAAATTTAGCCCTACTTTTCCAGCTGACAAATATGACTTCCTTAACATCATGTACCCAGCTACTCCTGCTCAGGGGTAGAAACTTATTTTCCTGTCTACATCTGGGAATTATTTTGTCTTTCAGTTCTTTGTATCCCCAGTATTTGTAAAGAACTCCTACAAAAGTTACAAACTGGGTAAATAGTTTTGGAGATAACTGAATTGTTTTCTGCAATTTCTGTTTCTAAAGCATAATGATATGTGTAAGTAACTTCCAGTTGGAAAAACTGAATTGTTTCTGTCAAAGTCATGGCAGAAATGATGATTTCTTCTCTTCAGGTTGTCTTAAAAATTTTTGATTCTAAACTAATTTTTATGAATTTCTGCTGTTGCTGCTGAGATTTTTAATAGACCTCTCATATAAAAATACGAAACAGGTTTTTATACGATTTTATTCATTCTCCATAAAATCAGACACATTTGCATTTGAACTTTCAGATCTTGTTCCCAGCATTTTAAGCAGTCTGATTGTATGGCAGTGGGTTGTATTAATTGCAAATAGGCCAGACATCTGTTCACTGAATAATTCCTTGTGTCTCATTTTTGTTTATCAGTGTTTTACATAAAATCATTATTTTTGCTGGGAAAATGGATCCTGAAATTTATTATTTGCTCATTAAGAAAGGCTCCAAACTGATTTCTGTGCAGGAGACCCAGATGTTGGAGAACTGGGGAGGAGGGAGGGAGGATTTGCAAAGTGATTTGAAATCAATACTGGTGTTGTATTGGTTGGAAACACTTCAGTGCTGTTATTTCCAAAACAATCTTTTCTCCAAAATTCTTTGCAGTGTAAGCATTTCTCCTTGCCTGTTTATTAGGATGGGTTATTAGGAAAACCAGAGCACTGGATAAAAGGCAGGTTCATGGAAGGGATATGGATCTGATGGTCATGTTTGGTGGCTGAAGCACCTCATTTTTAGTCCCTTAGGATGAATATTCATTTAGGGATTTACTGCCTTGGAGACATTAGCTTGGTTGTGGTGGTTGATGGAACTCCTGGGATGTTTCAGGATCTCTTGGGTGAGCTGGAGGAATCACTCCTGAGCTCACACTGGGACTCGTGACTGCAGTGGCTTCAGAGTTTGTGCCTTAAGAGGGAAAAGCAGCATTTGAACAGCATTAAAACCAGCAATTGAGGTGAAATATGCAGGGCAAGGATGTCTTGAATTAACAAAGAGGTTGTCAAGTAAATTGTAAATCATTCTTTGCTTGTCTAATATAAGAATGAGTAAGATGAGGAATGACCTTTTGATGGGAAAGGGAACAAGGCGTGTGAGAAGTGTCCTCAGCTTTGCTCCCTCCACGGGGTTACTGTGCCTAAAGCCTCACAGGTGTGTATTGATATTCCCATAGATTTACACTGTGCAAGATCAAACATGGGCTTCATCTCTGTAAAATTCCCAGTGTGCTGTAATTTAGCATGGAAAAAAGTTTCATTTCCTTTAGCAAAGTTGGACTGGTGTGACCCTTTGGTAAATGTCACTGGCCACTGGCAAAATCTGTCCTTGAACCTTTGAACAAAATCCTGGGGCAGGTTTTTGTGCCTTATTAAGAGAATATGGAGTGTTACCGAGGGAGAAGAGCACCAGCTCATCCCTAATATGGTGAAATCATTTAAAGTCCTTCATTTATGTTGACTTTTTATCAGGCACTATTGCAATTAGGTTAGGCTAATGAAAGGTAAATTCCAGCCCTTGCATAAAAAAAGAAATCCTTGTAAAGAACCTAATTAGTATGTTTGTTTATTTAGACTCTAATGGCTTAATTGCATCTTATCTTGCTATTTACAAATAGGCATCATTAAAGAATAATGAGCATGTGAGGGGAAGCTCAGCCTTCACACCAGCAGCAGATGAGACATAAAAAAATGAGGGAAAAAATAACTTAGTTTGAAAGTCTGGGTATTTGGGGGGTTTTTTAACTTTATTTTTAATACAAAACCTTATTTTTCAGCGTGTATAAATATGATTTCCACGCATTGTAGAGATTAGTAAGAAAGATCTGCAAGTGGGAGGATGAGCTTCTGGCTGGTTCTGTGGCAAGGAGCAGGTGTCTGGCCTTTTGCTGGAAATCTGTAGCTTGGTTCTGTCTCTGCTTGGATGTTGCCTTATTTCTGAGGTGAATAAAAACCACACACAAACTTGTGCTCCTTTTTATAGAAGCAGGGAGGTGCCCATGTTAACCGAAAAGAATGTTTTCTTTCTTTTAGCTCTGCATTGCAGAGCATCTGCAGCTCAAATCAGCAGCAAATTCCCTGGAATGCTGAGGGGAAAGCTGCAGCTTTGGGAGTTTTTTGCAAAGTGTTGGAGCTCTTGGTGTTGTCAGCACACATTTTCCTGATACCAAACTTAAATGAATTTTAAGAAAGAACGTTTGTTAATGCGTTGTTTAAATGGTTCATAAAAGGGCTTTTCACTTGCTATTGGTTTCAGTGAGGAGGCAAAATTAAAGGAGGGGAGGTGGTCAAGCTGTTGTGCCATGGTAAATTGATTTTCATCCTTTTCTCATTTGGACCCTGGTTCTGCCTTACTTGGAAAGGTGCTTATTTCTTTTCCCATTATAAGTGATGTTAAATAGGAACTTTTTTAGCAGTCTTACAAGAAATTATCTAAGTCATCCTCCCTGATTATTCCGTTTCCCCTTCCCCCTTTCTTGGCATACTGTGTCTGTCAGATGCTCCTTGAGATTTATCTTGGTGATAGACAAAATATTTTTAAAACTGGGATATTTCAAGAAGATTTTTATTTTATATATCTTTGTCAGAAAAGCTGCATAATATTGCAGATTTCAATCAGCTGCCTGTCCTACCTTCTTCTGGAGCTTTCCATTTTAGGAAGCAGGGGATTTATGAATAACTTAACTGCCTGAATTTAGTATACTTTAGTTAAAAGGAAGTTAGAAATACATTGTTATTACACAGAGCCCAAAACAGAAGCTGCAGAAGTATTTAACTTGCAACTGTTCCATTTTCAGCACACAGAACTGTGGGGCATATTTTTTCATTCATATTAATTGAATTTTAAAGTGACCTTGTACATGTATTGATTTGAATTAAAATTTTGTACATCAAGGACGAGTTGGCATATATCCTTCAGGCAAAATATTAAAAAGCCAAGTGCTGTCTTAACAGGATATCGACAGGAGAAGTTGAAATTTAATAGGAAAAGGTGGCTTAGAAAGGAAATTGTTGCCTTTTTGTCACAATTGAGAGGTATCTTTTCTGTATAAGCAAAGAAATTTCTTTCAGTTGGTACCTGTGGAAATGCAGGGACGTTTCAGTGCCTGTTAAATAGGGACCATCTGGATGAGTCTTGACCTCCAGGAGAAACCTGCACTGCTGGAGCTTGGAGTAGAGCTATCAAATTACTGTTTTACCAAAGCCATTGGTTTGTTATTGCCTTCTTTCAGGTGATCCATAGGGACACAGTTGTATGACTGTCGTGTAAATTTGATTCCATACAGAGATCTTTTCTGAACACAGAGCCCAAGCAGCCACGTAGAGCAGGAATTGAAAGAAAATGGTTTGCTGAAAAACACGATCTGAAAAATATGTGTGAGTCGAACAGAAACATCAAGTCCTGAGAATAGTTACAAATCTTGATTACTAGAGGAAAAAATAAAGGGTGTTGCATTTACTGTGTATACAATATGGAATGGTTTTCACCCTGAAAATAGCTGTGGAACATGCTTTTGGCTTTGAAATCCAACAGCATCCTCCGGTCTGGTGACAGGCTGTTGTTCATTCTTTGTACTACTACCCTCATTCTTTCGGTGCTGTTAAAATGATGAACTGTAATTTCTCTGAGCTACGCTTAGTTCTACAAAATTTCTGCTTCTGTCACACTTAACTAATGATGCAGTCCTACAAAAATCATCTGAAAGTCTTGATCTGTCTCCCAGCCAGCGGAAAATCTATGGGAGTCCTGCTCAGGGCAGGAGTGGTACAAAATAGCTGGAGTGCCACACACGGGATTTTTCAGCTTGTTACATTCCACTCTTCACTCTGAGGGTTAGTTCATGAGCTGACTGACAAAGTTTAGACTCTGTACTAGAATTCTCCCTGTCCCAGGCCAAAGGCTTCCCATCAGGATTTGTAGCTCTGCCTTGCTGTTTTGTGATTATAAATGCAGTATTTACAGTAGTCTGGGTAACTTCTGCAAACCTCTGTATGGTCACCTCATTCCTACCCCCATTTCCCCTCCCAACCCTCCTCTAGGACTTCCTGCATCTGGTTTGAGTGGAGCCTTCGTGCCATATTTTCCATCCTCCTCCTTAGAGGGAAAAGCATCTTGGCACTTCAGAGCCTTTAAGTTATTCAGCACCAGGTTGGGGTTACTTGTGTTGGAACAAGGTGTTGGGAAGGAAGCAATTGCAGAAGTTAGAAAGCAAAAACATGTAACAAATCATTAAAGATGAATATTGACTGGTGCCTTCGGGTGTGGATTTGTCTGCTGAGGTCAGCAGTGAAAAACCACAGTTGTTCTAGGGTGTGTTAATCTCTACAGGATGAAATGTTGTGACATGGACAGAAAATGAGCTGCTGCTGGTTGGGAAATATTAAAATGAACCAATTGTTTCTTTTTTCTCTCGGTTCTGTGCTTTTGTGGGTGAGGAAAAACTCTCTAATAATCTCTGTATAACAAAACACAAAGAATTCTTGTTAGACACACATCTTAACCATATTGAAGTGCAAGTTCATCTTTGAAATGTAAATTGATTTTTAGATTAAAATGCCTTCATTATTGCATTTTTGTCAATAATACAATTTAGGCTTATTTCTGTTGTTACACTCCAACTGACCTTATATGTTTTCCATGATACTAGTTTTATGCTTTGCACTTTAGCACTTTGACAGGAGAAAATTAAACCTTTGAAAATGTAACATTTTTACTTTAAGCTGTAGTTTCCTTTGAAATAATTTTACATTTTTATTGGACCAAAAATGTTTTCCATTAAACTCATGGCATGCTTTTACAAGCCAGCATTAGGAGAGTCCGATTCTTCTTTCAAATTGTGCTTCTCTAAGTGGACTTATATTGGAGAATATCAAATTCATCGAAAATAATCACATTTGCCCATTGTTTTTGACAAGTTATTGAGTTGTGGTGTTAATAAAATGGAGAGAATTGCTTGGCAGTGTCATGTCTGCACAAGGGAATTCTGTGAACTCATACATTTTCAGTTGCAAATGAATGTTTGTTTGTTCTGCACTTTATAGTCTCTCTCCTCCTCATAACACACACTGCTTTTAGATCTTTTATTTTGGTCTCTCTATAAAATATTGAAAACTGAAATTGCATCAACTTAAGCTGTTAGCTTGATGGTCTTATGAATTCAGACACCATCAACTCGCCTTCAGCTTGTTTTTGTCCTTCTCCTGTTCCTTCCCAGGTTACCTTAGGAAAAGTGTTAAAAGTGATAGTGGTGATGAGGAGCCTCTTCATTGACCGGACAATCGTCAAAGGGTACAACGAGAATGTCTACACTGAAGATGGCAAGGTGGGTTATTGCACATCCGGCCACATCACATCTCATTTTTACCTGGTATTTACATGGCAGAAATCAGGGATCCCCTCACAAGTACCCTGGAAACATAAAGCTGGCAAAGGCTGTGGGTGTTTGCAGAATGCACTGGTTTCAGTTTGTCGTGCTTTGCTTGAATTTTGCATACCCAAATCTCTGGCTTCTTTCTGAGCACCGAAGCCTTTGCTTGAATTTCTAATTTATCACCTTAGACCCCCATTGCTGCATTAGTAGTGTCTGCTGAGAAAACCTTTTTGCAGTGTAGCAGCACATCAACAGCCCAAGGTTCAGCTTTCTCTTTTCTGGGAGCCACTGGGGAATCCTGGGCTGGTTTTGTGCTCAACAAACACAAGAGAGGATCTTGCGTAGGTGAGTCCCCACTAATTTGCCCGTCAGTGGCAGCTACTAAAGCAAGTGTTACCTGCTTCCACAAGTGATTTGTGTTGTGAACAGTTCACCCTGCTTGAACCCTGCACACACTCCATATGGTTCTCTTTAGTGCATCAGGAGATGTTAACGGGACCTGACGGCCTTCAGCTCCGCTTGGTTCTCTTTCCAGGGTGGAATGGTCTCTCTTACAGGGACATCCGCCAGGACTCTCCGTTGCCAGTGACAGCACTAAATACCTCCATGTTTCACATGGTCTCTCTGGAGCTTTCCCTTCTGATTATAAAGCCTATTAAAATAAAAAGTTCATTATGTCAAGATGAGTATTTGGCACCCATAGGCCATGTTATAATGAGGTGAGACTTCTTTTCCTTTCAGAAGTGATAACTGTGTTTTAGCACACAGAATCACGTTGTGTACTGACCCAGAGTTCAGTGGCTCTGAGTCTGAGCCTCTGTTCTCTGGAAAAGGCCAGGAGCTGAGCTGCTGATGGAGATAGTGCAGCTGCATTTCCCAGGTGAGAGATTCTCCCTCGAAGGGCAGGGGACTGGCCTAAGAAGTCGTAAAATAAAAACTGCTGGATTTTGATTTGCATTATTCAAATGTGCAGGTTTAAATACCAGTTTGCCACAGAAGCAGCTGCTCTGCACTCCCTCTATATTAGCATATAAATACAGAGTTACAGCCCCAGCCCCTGTTCACCCCAAGTTCTGCACAGAAGGGCAATGATGGTCTCCCAAAAGAGCAGTGACAGTGCGTGATGGACTCCTGTGTCACGCTTCATTTGGGTGTGCTCGTTTTCTCTGATGAATCCAGTTTCCTTTGAAGCTCCCTTGAAATACAATAATGCTCTATGTGCTGAAAAGCTAAGTAAGGAGTTCCTTTCTGAAACTCAGCATCTGGCGTTGGGCTTCTGTTTAGCTCAAGGTTAACTCTCCCCAGAGCCCCACACTGTTCCTCTGGCGCCGTTTGCTGCGTGGGGAGAGCAGGACCTGCCAAGGCCAGCTCTGGGCACGGGGCACTAACCTTTGCCTGCTGTCAGTGGGGAGCAGCTCAGCTCCTCCAGAGCATCAGTGTTAACACCTGGCTTATCTTCTTGCTTTAAGCCAGTCTGCAAGGGAGTCTGTTTTCTACTGATTTAGCTTTCTGTGTCCAACCCTGGGCTGTGAGGCTGCTCTCAGGGGCGTCCCTCCCTCGACCTTTCCGTGGCAATCTGCTATTCCACTGGGCATCCCGGGGCTTTTGCAAACCTGAAGGTCTGTGCTTCAGGTATAAATAGGAACATTTCATTTGACTTAAGTAGAATTGCAGTTGCAGCCGCTTAAATCATGAGTAAATTTGGCTTGGAAGATTAAATAAATGCGTAGCTTGCTCGTTTTGCCAACTGGAGCACATATTGACAAACAGTGAGCTCCTTTTTTTTTTTCCCCTAATTAACTACACTGGTAATTGGAGAATAAGAATAAGATTGTGCTCTTGCAATGATTTGCTTTCCTCGTTGTGCCTGCTGGGAATGAGCGATTACAGTGAGTTACAAACACAGTCCATTGCAATTCCTCCCCTGTCACAACAGATGCTGTTGGGAAAGTACTTCAGTGAGGTTTCACCATACGATTCTGACTTCTCAGTTTGTAGCCTGGTAGCATGAAAAATGCACTAGCATTCAGGAGAGACACGGAAGAGTAAGAAAAACATCAGTGAGTATCATCTTTATTAAATACCAGAAATATGGAGAACCCTCAGGAACACAGTAGGAGGTGATCGTTTTTCCAGTGAGCAGTTTAAACAGTTATTGTCGAATTGGGAGTTAGCTTATATATTCCCAGGAAGCATTTAATATTTGTAAACAGCAGTGAGAAGATGAACTAGGTGCTTATCATACAATATGGCAGTGCTGAAGTGCCTGTCTTTTCTGTGAGCCACGTTGAAGAAGTGACACTGGATAAGTAGTTGTGCTTTTTAAGTAAAATAGCTGGATGAAGGTCTGTTGAGTCACCCTCCAAACTGCACAAGTTGGAAGGTCCTTTAAGTAAAAAAAAAATGAAATTCAGTGGGGGACTTTGTCCAAGCACAGCGGGGTTTGGGGCAACCAGATGTTTATTCAGTGGTACTCAACAAAAGAGGAACTGGGAATCACTGGTCACACAGACAGTAAGTGAGAAAGGGACTGTGCTAAATAGGCCAAAGATTTCCTTGCTGATAAGGCAGTCATCATTTCTTACTGAAAATACACTGTTTTAGCAAATTTTGCATCATTGGGAAGAAAAAGGAAAGAGATGAGTGCAAACAGCAGAGGTGTTATAGCCTTCTGGTCCTTTAGTCAGGCAAATCTAGGAGAAAAGTCCACAAATATGGGAGTTTCTCATAGCTGGGGAACTGCGTGGGGACACACCAGCAGGTACCCAGGAAAGGTGACACTGCATTTTCCACATTGCTTTATCTTGCTGTTTCCTCACATGTTGTGCTGTGTAGTTTGACAGGTACTTACAGGAAAGCTTTACGTGGTTTCTGCTGTGAAGTCTGGTTAAATTGGGTCTTCCCTCTTATGGATTGAAATACTTTCAGAATTAAGGTGAAAAAATAGAAATTTCAAGCTTGCAGCGAGTAAAACAAGACACTCCATTCTGGGGTTTTATTTTCAGGCTTTGCTTATACAGACAGAATCGTTGCATTTCTTAAGTGCTTCGTGTACTTCTCTCGTGAATTATTCACAGACCCTGCAGAATATGTCTTTGCCAAGCTGCCAGCTGCATAACTTTGACATTTTTGGTGACACTTTGCAAAAACAATAGGTGAGAACTGGCAGGCTGTGACATGTCTGGGTGCTGTACCTGCTCGCTCTGCAGTCTCTTGCTCACCATCCTAACCCATCATGTCCACCACAGACTTGATGCATTTTAATTAGCCTCGTGATTTTAGTGATGGCACAGTGCCACCCTTAATTTCAAACTGTGACATGCTCATTGTGCACTGGAATTTAACCATGGGTAGTAAATTAATTACTGGTGTTGTCCCAATTCTGGAATAAATGAAGCCATGTCTCACAGGGGCAGGTGGATGGTCAGCTGAGCCATTAGAAGCCCTAGTCTACCACTAAAAATAAAAACATCTTGGGAATCTTGGGCATAATAATTCCATGCTTTCCTTTGTAAGTCGAGGCCAAGAACCACCTTGACAGGGCGTAGTTGGAGTGGGTACTTCACATCACTGCCAAATTCCCGTTTTTTGCATCCCTTAGACTTAGCTAAAGAAACACAAGTGTCTCAGTTGAATTCTCATGATAAGGAACTCGGGTTATGTTAATGCTATGGCTTCATTAATTACCCCATATCAATAAGAAAAGGCAGCTTTTAGCCTCCTAGCGTAAGAGAGGAAAAGAAATAGTCGTATCAAAGGAAAGCTTCAAAGACAGGCAGAGCTGTCTCTCGGGTAATTTCTGATCCCTGCATTCTCACCACTTCAAAGCTGGATGTGTGTATGTTTGGGTGAAGGGGGGGTTGAATCCGATTTCTCTAATAAGTGTTGGCACCGGACCTGTTTGATATCAGATGCAGGAACGTTCTGATTTGTTATCGCCTTTGAAATCGTTCAGACGACCTTCAGAAAGTGGCCTCTTGTTACAGCTGCTGGGGGTGGGTGGGGAGAGGGGGCACTGGGAAAAAAAGCCCCAGTTTAATTCACATGCAGAGGATGCCCTGAAATTGTGCTTTCAGCAGTTTTTTTAGTTACAAATGTGTGTCTTGATTGAAAGTGAAAAGTTGAAGAATAATAGACCTATAACGATGCATTCTTTAATCTGCCTCTGCCTTAATCCTCAGCTTCAGGGGGAAAGGTGGGCACTCATTTAGGATGTATGTATGGAGGGGGGGGATTGGTGGCTTTTTCTTTTCTTCTTTTCTCTTTCTTTTTTTCTTTCTTTCTTTTTTTATCATGGAGAACATCACGTCTGTAAGACTGACATTCATTACTTTTTCAGCTTTTCCATCTCCTTGCCAACTAATGAACATTCAGAACCTGTTGGACTCATCTTAAAGCAGCATCTGAAGTGGACTTTTTTTGAGTCTAACTAGAGAGGATCACATACTTGGTTTGATCACTGGAGATTAGCAAAACCATATATATATTCCAATTACAGCAGCTCTGTGGTCAAAGGAAGCCTTAGATTACATGAAAACGGTGGTTTTTTTAAAATATACATTATTTTTTTATTTTCAAATGTAGATTTTTCTACTGTGGAAGTGCAGTGCTGCCTTCCCAGCAGGCCCAGGTTGAACAATACCATGTGAATCAATCCTGGGTCCAAGTCTGGGCTGAACCCTCTGAGTGTTGGTGTTCACACAGGTTCTTGATCCCACCCCAAGAACCAGAATATAAAAAGGTTTGGAGGGATGTGCCTCAGGGTACTTGTGTCTTCATCCAGCCTGGAAAAGGCATTGAGACCTCAGCTGCCTTTTGTCTCCTGGCAAGGTCAGCGGTGCTGAGCCACGAAACATCGATCCTGAAGGGATTTGTGAAGTCTTTAACATCACCTCCTGTCCAGACTGAGGGCTGGGGATACAAGAGTCTCAGCTGTACCAGCAGTTGGACATGGGCCACTTAATAGTGTTACTCTTAAAAGAATGAGAGCTTTTAGCATTCTGAACATTTTTTAGCGTTGTGAATTAATCATGTGGGTTCAGAGCCTTCCCTGTCTCTTCCCTCTTCTCTCCCCTACAATGTGTTTTACTCACTTTGCATGATTTCCTTGATTTCAGACTCTTTTTGTGCCTTTTAAAAGACTTGTAATGTCAGTTAGAACTTAATGGGTACCTAAGTCAGAAATAATGAATTGTACCAGTAAAGGACATAAACCCCCAATCTGGGAATACATGTCCAACTAGAGGGCACTGGAGGGGTCATCCCTGCTTCATAAATTCACTCCAAATATTTTCTTCCTCTGTCTAGTCTGAGATTCCTGAGGTTAATGCTGTATCAAGCACCTTTGCTGTGACAAGTTTTGTGCACACAGGATTGTTGGGTATAGTGGGATCTGTAGGAAAAAAAAAAAAAGAAGTGATTTACAAGTCTGGGACTGGAAATTTCTCTTGTTTCTCCTTGCTGCTTTTCCTTGTTAGAACACAAGATATTGCACAGGGCAAATTGAGCCATTGGCAGGTCAGTAGTAATTGTTTAACACTGAGCCATTGGGTTGCTTAACAAGGATTGTTAACCCAGACTTACCTTCTGGCTTTGGGGGCTAATAAAATTTACATTTCAGTTTTGTTCCTCTAGTTCGTGTATAGCTGAGCACACATTTAAGTCATGGATGTGTGCAGTTATCTACGACCTTAAATCTCTTCTAGTGTGATTTTTGTCTGCAAATGTAAATGCAGTTTCCTGAGGGATGTTTTATTTAGCCCCAGCAGACCAGAGCTTTGGCTTAATTCAGCTAAACGTTCTTTGTGTCGTTTGTAACTGAATCACTTATTCAACACAAGACAAGCATAAACTTAGTAAAAATGCCCTCATTTTAGAAACAGACTGAAGCTGATGAATATTTGCATAGATCAGCCACAACCCCATACAAATGAAGATTTTGCTTTTTAAAGAGAACACATTAATTCAACAGGTCTCGTATATATAATTTTTCTATTGAAACTGTGCTGAACTATGTTCATTCTTCACTGCAATACAAAGGACATCGTACATTATTAATTCCCTTTCTTGGTTTGCAGCAGGTGAAGGCTCTTGGGTCAAAAGAGTGAACTGAGAGCTTCATCTCTGTCGATCTGTTTGCTCTTTTAATTTGAACAGCTGCTTCTTTATGTGTGGTAATATATAATTTATTTTTTTTTCCCATAGCTTGACATATGGTCTAAATCCAACTATCAAGTTTTTCAGAAGGTAAGTCTCACACCATTTCTCTCTACCTAAGGCATACAGGAGATATGTGGAGTTCATTTTAAATATCTGGGGCCTCACGTTAAAAAATTCAGAATTTATTCTCTGTCATCACAACTTGCAAATGACAAACAATAATCTGCAATGATGGAAACCTGTGAGTAGAAAAGAAGATCACTTCTGCTGTTGTTTAATGTGGATTTGTTTCCCATCGCAGTTCCAGTCCATGGTTTGGAATAGGAAGCTGGAGATTATACTACATTAACTTTAAAATTTCACGAGGAATCTTCAAGCATTCTCTCTTTAGTTTAAACCTTGTGAGGAAGGGAGGGCTGTTTCAGGTTTATTTAGATTTTGTTGTTTTCATTGGGGTTAAGTTGCCCCCCTCTCCTCGGGGCTTGACTTTAATAACTCAGCAGAACTCACTTTCCAAAATAAGTTTGGAGATTTTTTCCATGATGATATTTTGGCTGCTCCTCTTCCCGTGATGGTGTAAGCAAAAGGAGCCACTTACTGGAATAAATTCCATGCCAGAAAGTAAGAAAAAACCAATGAGAGAACAGGAGCAATAAAAATAAAACTACTAAGAAGGTTAAAGTGTATTTTAGAAAGATCTATATCTTGCTATTTTCGAGGAATACAAGATTTCTTTTGAAGGCCTCTTGTCAAAATGCTACAAGTTCAGATTGATCCTGGTTTAAATTCCAGTTTCCTTACCTTCAAGCCACAGTTCAAGGAGCTGGAGCCTCCAGCTTTCCTTTCATCTGTGTTTGTGGTTTGTGAAACAAATGGGGGTCAGGGACTCGAAAGGGCATAAAAACAGGGGTCAGAAATGGGGCATATGGGCTGTATTTGTGCACCTCCCTTCCAAGATTTCAGTTGCAGTCAGCAGGGAAGGCGTTTGACCTGTGATTTTAACCTGCTGGAGATCAAAGGACAGTTTTTGGGGGATTGGTTGCTCTCCCTCTCTGCTGAGCATTAAAGCCAAACTTTGCTGCAGTTGATTCTTTACCCCAGAGATTAGTGGATTAAATATTCTTTCTTTTTTAGCATCGAGCAGGGTAATACGAGTGGGAAGTAAACCAGCATCTGTCTATCAGGGTGCTTTAAAGCAATTTTTGCAGTGGAAGAATTGAAGGTTCTGTAATTACCTGCATTATTTCCATTTCCCACTGTGTGCATTGGTTGGACGCTCAATTTTGGGCACCAGATTGTCTTCCTGGATGTTTTTTTTAAGAACAATTTGGAAGGGTAAAATGGAATTGCTGTAATTTGTGCTAAATGATAATAAATCATGAGGTTTTGATGATATAATTTTAGTTATCTCTAGTAAGATAACAGAGTAGAGTAAGTGTAGAGTTTGCTTAGTCCAATTCAGGACTTGGGGAGCATAAATAAGTAGAGAAGATTTCTCTTCAGGTCCAAGTGATTCCTTCAGATCAGGAGTGTAAAAGGTCAATGAGAAAACATGAAATACCCCTCTTACTCATGCCTCTGTGGCTGCAGAGTGGATAAAAGACTGCTTGTTCTCTTCCTAAGTCTCTAAAATATGATAAGACCTTAATATTAAGTTCCTGTTTTCCAGTTCTCTCTTGATTAACAACACTGAATGTATCAATATTTACCAAGAACAACCCCAATCCAGAAAGGCTTCAGAGGGAGGGTGGCCTGTGCCCAGCTGAACAGCTGTCTGTGGGGTTTTTTTATAGTAGTTTTATAGATTTTGTTCCCAGCTCTGTCACTGTTGCCTTGGACAACTTAACCTCTCTTTGGATGAGTTTCTGCATCCCTTATGTTGGGATAAATACTTGCTGACTTCACAGGAGCTCTCACTGAATTGCTTCCACAGTGCTCTCAGATTCTTGCCTGAGAGATGTGATAAAAATGCAAGGGGATGGCACTTTCTAATCAATAGATTCTGTACACTTGAGCTGATAGTTGAAGAAGTTAAGTCCAGGACCTATGTCGGGTTTTCACCCAGGTGACGAAAAGTGCTGTGGTTCAGCATAGTAAGTTTTCTCTCTGTGGTGCTGTGCTTGGTTTGATTTTCTCTTTATTCTCTGAAGCTTCACTTGTGTCTGTTTATAATACCCAGGAGTGATGATTTACCATTAGCAAAATGAAGGAAATAAGATAAAATAGCGTTACAGGAACTATTACACTCTGTTAGTAGTGTAGGATCTGTACTGCAGCATCTTCAGGTTTTCATGCCATTAAAAAATCATCGGTAAATGTGTCACAGCACATCTGAATGTTCCTGAAATGTGTTTCTCATGGCAGTCACCAGTATGGCAATGTGGAAGTGCTGTGCTGAGAAGGAAAAGTAGGGATTGAGTAACTGCTCCCCTTGAGGAGGAGGCTGGGTAGCGCTTTCACTCTGCTGTAAAATCCATCCCCCCTCTGAAGGGCAGGGCCATTTCTCTTTAAAACCTGCACCAAGTTCTCAGTCTCTGTTTTCAGTGATAATAGAACAACATCTGGAGCTCACAAGATCCCTGCCTGGGAGGGAGCTGCAGGCCTGTCAAACTCTCACAGGGTTGCAGCACGACTTTCTAGGTTAAGGACCAGAGACCTCTGATCTTCAATCCAACCCTGTCAAACGAAGCTAAATTTGTCCTGACTTTTTTGTTTGCAAACATTGGCTGTGTCAGCAAGGCTTTTCTCTCTGCTTCTTATTAGGCAGGATACCCGAGTGTGTATAACCTGATGGGGGCCGGCTCCCCGAGGGCCCATTACTGTTAAAGTGTGCAGTCATTTCCCGAGTTCCCTGGAGACTCCTTGAAGCTGGTCCTGGGGTGAATAAGCCTTATTGGCATTGAATAGACCAGCAGGGTTAGATTCAGAGAATGGAGCTGAGAAATAAAGAGGGGGGAAAGGCTGAAAGGGCAGAAGCACAAGGAGCAAAGAAAAGGTTTTTCAGGCTTCCATGTTGGGGTGACATTTAAGCTCCGCAGGAGCGGTGACTGTTTTCATCTTAAACCTCCTTATTTTAACACCTCGTGTCTGCTGATCCACTAACGCAAGAAGGGGCATAAAACAGGAAATAAGGAATGATTTGGGGGCTTAAATGTTGGTGGGCAGAATGGGACACATGAGGGCTGCACAATTGCAGGTCATTGTGCAGAGGGTTAAAAAAATACATACTGTAGAGAATGGTGAAATGCTCATACTTCTGCATTCAAGAGGGAGAAAAACATTGAATAGTGGAACTGCTGTGAGTGGATCAAAATGGGAGGTGGTGTCAAACATTAATTGTCATTTACCAAGCTGCTCAGTTATGAGCAACATAGCTGGTGTTGCTGGGTCCTGTGATCAGTTTGGCTGTTTAAGTCATATGTAAAGGCTTTAAACCCATATATTTCATTCTGATCTCAGAGTCCCATCCTGATTTTCACCTAGATATCCTACCAGTTTTATCATGTCACAAACAGGTTTTGCTTTGGCTTGATATGCTTCTCCCCAAAGCACGTTTTATTTAACCAAAACTTTGAGGAGCTGTTTGTGCCTGTCCAGCTGTTTGTGGGCTGCGTGATCCCAGTGATGGAACTTTCACCACTACAAGGGCACATAAGTATTGTAATGTATGAAGATGTATTCTTGTCAATAATCTCAGAGTGAAATCACGTGCAGGATGAATGCATGCATGAGGAATTCTGGGCTGCTGCTGATGGCTGTTCAAGGAGAGGAGATGGGCTGTTCCAGGGTCACCTGCTCGGATGCTCCTGTGCAGGATCGGTCCCTGGCTCTGTTCAAAGACCTCCCTGGGCAAAATAAAACCTCACTGACCCAGTCCAGACCAGCAGAACAAGCAAAATAATAACTTAAACATTCTCTGAGGTCTGAAAACGAAGGATAAATCCTACATTTCAGAGAGGTCTGGTAGTGCTTTCCTGACCTGGGAGTGGGGAAGGATTTGTGTGAGTTCATCAGCATCCGTTCCATCCATCATCCTTCCCTGCACCTCTTGGCACCACATTCCTCCAGAGAGACTCAGATGTGTTCTTGGAGAGAAAATTAAGTAATGGGAATCCTTGGAAATGAGCAAAGGCACTCGTGCAGTTTTCCACACCGTAAAAGGTCTAAACACTAATAAAATAACTTCCTCTTTTTTCTTTTTTTCTCTTAGTGCTGTGATCAGCCTGCAGAGCTCATTGCTACAGGCTACTGTTAAGGCCATGAACTTACAAGGGATAAAAAAAAAAAAATTAAAAACCTTCCAGGGGATTTAGAGAATCCCTTTATATGAGAAGGAGTCGTCAGTGCTGCCAGGGGAATAAACCAGTAATAAGTGGCGAGGAAAGTTGTGGCTCTTAAAGGAAGCTTTGCACCTACTTTTGAAAAGTGCATTTCCTGGCAGTGAGAGAAAATACTAGGAGAGAAAGGTGTTATAATTTAGTCATGTGATGTTTGTGTTTTTATTGTTTAGTTTTTAGGTCAGGTTATAGCTTAATGCATCCATGGAGCATACCTGGTCTGTGGTAGAGCAAAGCTGTGTCTTAGGCCTTTGGTTTTATGTTGCTTATCCCAGTTACAGGAAGCACTTGCTCAGCTTTGTCCACCTGTGAATTGTAGAATTGTAATTTTTTTTAATGGATTTTCCAGGTTTGGGAATGCTGTGTGGCTAACCAGTGTCATCAAAGCCCAATAAAGTCATTTTTTGGATGTGTCATCTTTGGAAAGCCCATTCCAGCAGAGCAGTTCTGTTCCAATGCATTGCAACCCTTTCTGTGAAAAATTGAGTCTCTTTGCCAGAATTTGTTTTTCCCATGTCACTGAAGTCCCTTCTGCTCACTCTCCAGGTGCTTAGTTAAACAGTAGCTATTTTATTTAGCAGAATTGTGCTGCAGGAGATTGTCTTGTTTTACCTTTTTTCAGACACGAAATGCAAGTGCTTTTCAATAGAGGAATTGTGAAATATTGAACTTTTCTGCAAGATCTCTTGAAAATCCATTTCAAGGTCCAGAGCAGCAGCTCAGTCCCAATCGATGTGTGCTCTCCAGAATTTGTTCCCCTATAAAAACAGGCAGAGAAATCAGAAAGTGACCCATAACTTAGATAGCAGTGGGTACAGCAGAGCCATAAAAGCGAAGTTAATAAAATAAAACCCTGAAAAGTACAAAATATCATCCTACACCCAGAATAAATTAGTTTCTGATTCCAGCTTGGCTGGAAGAAAAGTGTGTCCCCGAAGTGAGCTGGCACATATGCAGTTTGTTTTGCTTTGCTTTGGTGTGAAATCCTATTGCCATTAGTAAAGCTGGGTATTGATCTTTTTGGGTTATTTTTCCCCTCCTTTTTTTTTTTTTTTTCCCTTTTTTTTTTTTTTTCTTTTTTAATCATGGCTGGTTTGTGCTTTCTCTCATCATCTCTGTTATCTTGGGGGGTTAATTCTCTCTTCACTCCCATGCCCTCCTGGTTTATCCCTTGCCCAGCTCTTTTCTGGGTTGGGGAGGGAGGGAGGGGTCATTCCCCTACTCCTCTTCCTCAGATTTGACACCCACTTTGATCTTTTTTTGGATACCAGCAGTTGCTTATGGTAGAAATCGCCTTCTTTTTGTTCAGGAAGCATTATTAGTGTTCCAGCAATGCTGGGATGGCTTTTATCTCCCCAAGGAATCTCATTAGCTCCACATTACAATAGGAACAGCATATGGGTAACTTTGCCAAAGTGGACAGTCAATTTAAATTTGTTAATAGCAGTTTTGTTGTTTTTTTTTTTAAGCAACTTTCTTCAGTGCCAAGAGAAAACAACTTTGTTGTTTGGGGGAAAAAAAAACAAAACAAAACCAAAAAAACAAACCACAGTTTGTTAGAAGTAGAAATACAGCAGAAGGAGAGCGGCTGCTCATAAATATCTTCAGAACTTTCTATTCTTTGACATGTCTGGTACTATCCTGTAAAAACAGCATCTTAAAAGAAAAAAATTCAGATAGCTGGTAGGGCACACTACACGAGATGTGTTTAAAGGAGATGGCTGGTGGGAGTTGTGCTGTGCTATTAATCCACTCTTAATCACATTATTTCTCATATTCATTTTTTACATGCTAGCATATAAATGGCTAAAAGAGGCTGAGGTCCACTTTGTGAACAGTTTATTTGAACTCACCAGAATGTGCACAGTCCCAAAAGTTTTCCCTTCCAAATGTCAGAGTCAGTCACATGTCCTTGCTCCTGCTGAATGGAGCAGCTCTGGGAGTCGGTTGTGGGAGCAGATCCTGTTTCTAAAATAGCAGCAGAACACAGAACTGGATCCAGCGTGGGCCACACTGAGGTGGTGTGGTGCTCTGTGGAGGAAGTTTGTGCAGTGTGAATTAGAGCCTGGCTATACATGGATTTATTCAGGAATATCTCTCTGACAGATTCACCTCCCTGAATAGCTCCAAGCACGAGCTTCTCTTTCCTCTAGTGAAAGTTGGGAGTGTTGCAGCACAACTCCCGTTGCTGAATTAGACCAGCTACAAGTTGGGAACAGCTGGAGTTAGCTGGGAATAGCAATGGGAATTTCAGTTCACACTTTGTCTTACTCAAAATTTGCTGTAGTACATAGACAAGCCCTGAGAAGAGCACTTCTTCTTCATGTTAGAACTGGAACAATTCAATCCCTCTCTATGCAGTCATGTATTTTGTTGGATACTTTGATATTACTGATGAGGACCATTATGAGATTTTCAAGTTAAAATATGTGAAAGAGCTCTCGTGGTTCTGTTGGTTTGAGTTCTTTAATAGTCCAGCCCAAGGACTTTTTCCAGTGATTTCTTCCATTTAGTCTAGAATTTCTAAGAAGCAGCAACTGTTGACTGTACTGATAAGTGAGGAAGCTGACAGGCTGAATACTGTTAGAGAATTGTATCATAGCTGTCAGAAACTGGGCCCTTCCAGAATAATTTAAAAATTAGAGTCTCTTTAAAGAAATGGTTAGTTTTCCTGATTTTTTTGTAATTATTCTTACGTATTGTAAATGTATATTTATAATACCTATTTTATGTCTGTTGTGTCCAGCTGCAGTTCCTGGATGTGTGATCTTGTTATGGCTCTGTCTGGGAAATAAAAAAGCTTTCTATCACAAACGCTTTAGTAATGCAAGTATTTATCAACCATAATCATATTAATTGATTCCTGGTTTCAGAGGAAATGAAACTGAGTAATCCTTGTACTGCTGCTTCCCCAGGGAATCCATACAGTTTTTCTGCAGGTTAACACTGCTTTGTGTGATACAGGTGAATGAATAAAGGTATTTTCTCCTTTTGCCTGATGCAGGTGACAGATCATGCAACCACTGCCCTGCTGCACTACCAGCTGCCTCAGATGCCAGATGTGGTGGTCAGGTCCTTCATGGTGAGTGTGTTGGAAAAGACATTTTTTCCAGCTAGATTTGAGTTTGCTTAAGGGAAGCTCTGATAGAGCTGTGATTTCCCCTGTTTAAAGGAGCTGGACAGTGGAGACTGTAGTTCTTTGTCTCTCCTATCTGGGTAGGGATGAAGGGCTGGTTCTCATTACCTTGGGATAATTAATGTTGGGAAAAAACTCTCCCAACCCAACTCTTTCCTTATGGCCCAGCCCTTTCACACTGTTCCTACTGTGCCAGGAGCCGAGGTCTGGATGTACAGAATGCTCCACTGGAAGTTCCCTGGTAAGAGGAAATTCCCAATTGGTTGTTCCAGCTGAGGCAGCTTGTCCAGTATGGGAAGTGATGGGCATTATTTAGTGAATGGTGAGAGGCAGGAACAGGATGGGGAAGGTTTCATTTTGCTGTATCCACATCCAGCCCAAACTTTGTTCCTATGGAATTGCATGTACTTGCCCAACAGAGCAGCAGGTGCCTTGGAGAATCAAGGAAATATTGGAGTATTCAGGTCTTTTCTTACTGAATAAAATTAATCCAATACCGTTCTGCTTTACCTGCAGATTTAAGTTTATCCCCTTTAATTCTGTTTGTATTTAGAATTGTATTTGTGAAATAAACTTGTGTATAAGCAGCCCTGTTAATCAGAGGGTGAGAAGAAGTGTTTATTGCTCAGAATTCCTTCTACCAAGATGAATTTTGGCAGTGGAGACTCTTGCTGTTTTCTCTGCAATTCAGACTTTTTCCTTCATTGCCTTCCCTTATGTTACCCCTTCACCTGGAGCAGTGCAACTGAAGCTTTGTAAAACAATAATCTAATTTTGCCATTCCCAGTCTTGAGGTGTGTTCAGCACTGGTTCTTTTACATCCTTAATTTCCACTGTGTAACTGCAGAACAATCTGACTCCCCTCCCAGCCGTGCTGGATTGGTTATTTAATGAAAAGGCCGCTGAGATGAGAGATTTGCAAAGGCCTTTTTCTCTTGGAGAGCAAAATAATAGGTTTTGAAAGGTGAAAGCAGCAGTAACTGGTGAGATCCATGTTCAACATGTTTGTGAAAATGAATGTTTCGCAGAGCATGAGCCAAGGCCCCCCCGTATTGACTGGAGAAAACACTAAAACTTCTGACAAAGCAAAACCAGCCCCACAGCACAAATGTCAATATGTTGGGCCTTTCACATGTCAGTTGTGCAATCCACATGGCAGGATGTTCTGAAGCCCTAATTCTCTGGTGGCAATGAAGAACCCATTCTTTTTTCTTTTCCTGTCAACAGATGTCTCAAGTGCACAATTTAACTTCATTTACCTATTTTTGTGTTACGGTTCAGAAAATTCGATTTCTCTGTAGTGCAAGCAAAGCCTATCCAAGCTGAAGTAAATAACAGCAATTTACTTGTAGAGTTGTGTTGCCCTTGCCCCTGTATTTACTGCTAAACCCAGAGAAGATCCAGTTCTTTTTGGAGGAGAGTTATTGACGGCTGAGGGTTTGGTTGCTATAGAGAAGGCTCTGATGAAGATGGAAGGATTTGTTTCAATAAACTCAGCTGACCTCTTCTTCAGAGAACAATTTTCTCTTATCGATGTAATTCAATAGGACTTTAAATGACAAGATTCATGTGCATCCTTCACAGTATAAATCTGCTGGTCTAGGGGGGTTTTCAGCTGTGTATCTCCTGGAGTTGGGAATTGGGTTATGTAAACGCTCATCGCTGTGTATGACGATGGGAACAACCCACTTAGAGGCAGGAACTTTACCTGGGAACACCTGAGCTTAGTCTGTGTTGTTCAGCCTTTTTATATATACAGTCATCAGTGTAATCAGGTTTAAAATGGTTCATTCTTTTTATGACCAATGAGTATTGATCCTAAAATCCCATTAGAGAGGAAGTTCGTTAGGCTGGATGTGGGAGCCCTTCTGTCTCCAGCTCTGAGGAGTCCAGCCCTTTACAGTGTGATTGCATCAGGGGAGTGATGGATGATCATAGGAACAAACAAACCAATATTTGGCTGGAGAAGGCACTGATCAAGAACAATTATATTCCAGTAAAAACATGAGGCGCGTTACAACACCCACCTTTCCTTGTGATTCTCGGGCTGCAGACTCGGAGGGCAGGAATTTCTATTAACAAATCTGCTTAAGTGACTAAAAAAGCGAAAGATGATTGATAAAGTGGGAATTCAGCTATTCACTGACCTTGTAATCTTCGGTGTGTTTCTGTTTATAAAATCAGCGCCTACCTCGCTGGGGCCTCGCCAGAGTACATCCTCTGTCCTTGCTGCTGCTGTTTGACAAGAATGATGACAAAGGGGAACATCCATAGCCAGTTTTCTTTAATTTCTCTCCCTTTTCCTTTTAGACCTGGTTAAGAAGTTACATAAAGCTGTTCCAGGCTCCGTGCCAGCGCTGCGGAAAGTTTCTGCAGGATGGCCTTCCACCCACGTGGAGGGATTTCCGAACGCTGGAAGCTTTTCATGACACCTGCAGGCAGTAGTAGCCCAGATGAGACCGTGAGGAGTCAACACTCTGCTCTTGGGAGGGCACTGGTGGCCTGGGAGGTGGTTCCATTTCTGAACCTTTCACCTGTATGAAGCACTGAGGTTGCACTAATACCTTTGACTCTTTAAAAGCCGTTGGTCTGCAGGGCACATGTGAGACTGAGTGAGATCTGATCATAACAATCTACTCCCTAATGAAAATATCCATGTACAGTTTGTGGTTTGAGACAGAATTTGCAACGTTGAAGACTTTTATAAGCTTGAAATATATTTTGTATTCCCAAACTCGTGCTGGTTGTTTCGTCATTTGATCAGCAAAACCCTTGGGTTTGGTGTGGGTTTTTCAGCTCTGCTCTGTTCTTTAGGAAACTGGAAACATTTACCCATGCTGAAATGGTGGGGGGCTGGTGGTTGGTTGCATGGCTGCTTATCTGAGTGCTGGGGGTATTTTTGTGGAAGAGATTATGGCGTTGATTAAACGTGGAATTTCAAAGGCATGTGGCAGCTTGGAAGATGCAACGTACTTTCTAAGGCGGGGGGAAACAGATGTTTCCCTTTACTAAAATTGTAATGAGAAATGTTAACAAAATCTGCATGTATTAAGTGGTTAGAAAACGTGTGATGAGCAGTGACAGTCGTGTTTTAGAACTGAAAGTAGCGAAATAATTCAGCCCTAAAGCAGAGTTTCTGCAGCACAGACATACAGCGTGTTTCCTAAATGATTTAAAATGTACATGGAACACGCTGGAGGAGAGCAGGATCCCTCCCAGCAATTGCTGTGCTTGGAATGGATGGGAGAGTTCTGCTCTTACAAGCCTTGGATGTTTTTCCTTCCCCCACAGACAGGGAAGGTCCCTGGTCCTGTCCCAGCCCGGGGTTGTATCACATGAAGTGCCTTCTCTCATATTGTTTGAGGACTCCACGTTTCCTCTGTCCTTTCCTGAAGGCAAATGTGATTAACTCCACTGTCATCCCCACCAGCACACCCTTGTTTCCTCTACAAGCCACAGAGTCTTCAGTAATCATCTGGATTGTGGAGCTGGGAAGGGGAGCTCTGGACAGCCTTTGTCACTGTGTTTATTTTCAAATAAATAGGCATTAAGGTACAGTACTGCAGACTAATTTTCAAGGTTCCTTCTGCCTGTGGACCAGCTTCTGTTGCAGAAAGAAAAGCTGCTCCTCCTGGGGCAAAAATTGAATTTGAACACACAGCATTTGGAAACAGCCCATTTCAGAGCTGTGGAAACTGAAAAGTGTACAGTCTGGGGGGTGTAGTTGTGGGGTACTAAATTAACTGTGTTTGCTGGTAACATAAAAGACTGAGCTCCCAAAGCCAGCAGCTCCTTCCCGTGGGGACAAGAGTGTGATGTGAGAATTTCAGCTTTTTTAGGCACAGAAATCTGTGCAGGACTGGCTCCTACGAAAGAGGAATTGAAAGAAAACGTGTATGACTTCAGAGGTACAACATTGTGTGTGAAGACTTGAGCATGTGTGTGTGTTTGAGGACATTGGTAATGAGATCTAATTCTATTTTTTCCCCCTATTATCATTATTAATAATAATACTCCCAATCACCGGACACGAATTGCCATAGCAGCGGGATAATGGCCATTTCAAATCCAGCTGCAGTTGAATTACTTAATAGAAACTTTCTGTGCTATTATTTGACCCAAGTAGCCCCCTCAGTACAAAGATCACCCAAGACAGAACGACTTTTGCATCTTCGATGAGCCCGAGCCTTGGAAATAAACAGCCCTTCTCTCCATCCTGTTCCTGTGCTAATTAGAAGGCCTGGGTTTCTGATAGTGTAAGCAATTTTTTTTGTTAATATAAAGGTCATAATACTGTATCCAGCCTGCCTTAGGCACTGCTGGCTGCTCCGTTCTGTTTATGCTTAAATAATGGCGGAGAAAGCAAATCCTGAAGTTCACAGAAGTATTTCACGTGGAATCGTGTCTTGGCACTTGGAGATAATTAGTTGCAGCAAAACAGGATCGTCCAAGTCTGTGTGTTAATTGAGCCTGAAATTTTAAACCTGTAATTGGGGAGTCTGATGGAAAGTCACACAATTCACGGTAGGTACCTCGGCACAAAAATAATTGTCTTACTGAAGTGCAACACAAAGCTGTTTGTCACGTTCCTTCCCTCCAGCGGAGGGGAATCTTCTCTGAGGCCCTGGGAGGAGCAGGGATTTCTGTCCCTGTAGGCCTTTAAGGGCAACAGGTTGCAATATTTTCTTTTTGGGGAGTGGAATTCAACTGTCTAAATTCTTGCAAAGCGTAGGAATTCCAGCAGTTTGGATGCAGCCTGCGCTGCTTGTCCTGGCAGCCCATGAGCTCAGTGGCAGTGCCTGATTATCCCTGAGATTGTGGATTTCCAAGGCAAGCAGAAGCTGCTCTGAGTTCTGAATGTGAGGGATAGAAATTGGGAGGTCACTCCTACATTGTTGGAATGTGAAGGATAGAAATTGGGAGGTTACTTCTATTTGCAGAGCCTTTCTCACAGTCCAACATTCCAGTGTTCTTCCTCAGCTCTGTCACTTGGATTATTTTATTCTTCAGCCTTAATTAGAAGGGATGGGTGACCAAAAGTGATTTAAATTGCAGGATGGGTGACCTGTCTCTTTTTTACTGTTGAAGTTTGTTGCATCTTTTAAAGCAGTTCTGATCTCCAGGGCGAACAGCAAGGACTGTGATCCGTAAGGAATGGTTGGCTCTCACCTCTTCCAGAGCATCTTCCAGACCCGCAGTTCTCCTGCAAGGTGAGAGCTGCTGCGGAACCGGGAGTGGCCAAATTTAACACGAGAGGAAACTAATCCAGATGCAGGAACAAGAGCTGCTTTAGTGGCTCAGGCTGTGTGTGGTGGAGCTGCATCATCCCTGCGTGGCTGTTTCCATGCAGGAATACATCCAGCTCCCCTCATGCTGCAGGAGAGGTGCAGCCCCTCACCCTGGGCACTGTCACTTGGTGTCACCTGCCCTGAGCCCAACGTGCTCCTCTCTCACATCCCTGACAGCAAGAAAATCCTGTTTTATTTTCCCCCGTGCAAACCCCTCCTGCTGCGCTCGAGGTGCTTGCGAGTGCTAAAGGTTACAAAATCCATCTTTTTGCTAAGAAAGCAACTTAATTAATGTGAAAGTTTCTCTGGTGAAGGGAACCCGCAGCAGATTCGCAGAGCACATTGCAGCCGCTCCCCTTTCCCTCCCCGCACCCCTCCCCAAACCACTTTAATTTCTCTGCCAATATTGGACAAATGTAACAGGCTGACTTTTTAATTTTCTACTCCCAGGTCTCCCTTGTCCCCTCATGCATTTTTCATCACAGCTCATGGCTCCCTCCCTGCCTGCCCTGTGAACAATATTGATCGACTGATTAAGCCATCAAGCCATGGCAAACAACTTTAATTTTCTAACCAAAGCCTTTTAGTTCCCCTTCCTTTCTTGGATATTTGTTGCCTTCTTCTAAAGTTTTTAATGTCTGCTTGGAAACAAATGCATTTTTTTAATTAGTCCCTGGGTTAATTGGCACTGTGCACCCCAGAGAACAACCCACAGGGAAATATTAACCCAAAAATGCAGTAATGGAGAGCAGGAAGCCCAGGTGCTGTCCCATTCCAAACCCAGATCCACGCTCTGAAACCCACTGGAGTTCTGCAAACCCGAGACCCAGTTTGCCTTGTAGAGCACTTTGAAGCCCTGATGATGATGATAAAGTGAATGGAGATTAATCCAACCCGAATCCCAGGGCTGGCAGGGCGGTAAAAGCATCTTTCTTGCAAACTCAGTGCATGTGGTTTCAGTGAGGCTTGTCAGAATCGCTCCGTGCGCTTGCAAATTGCTTTTCAAGGTAAAAATGCAGCTTAAATATGAGGATATTTGTCTCTCACTGGCAGCCCTGGAGCTCTGTGCTGTGCAGTGGTGCTGCAGCCCTGTCTCAGGTGCTGGTCCTCTAGGCAGAACATGAATACTGGGTTGTAGGTGCGTCAGGATCCCCATTTCGAGCTTCTCTGGTGTCTCTAGATGTGTGAATTACAAAGATGTGCAAAACCCTCCAAAGGAACCAGCTGTTGTCCATGGAGAGTTTGCATGTGAGCAGTGACAGGACCAGGCACCTTCACCCCCTGTGACTGGTCTTTGTACTAACATTTATCTGGGAATTAGTCACTCCTTGCTCTGAACAAGACACGCAGAGCTGAGCCCCTGGAGGTGGGAGATGTGGCTGCAGGTGCTGGCAGTGAAGGGGTGAGGAAGGAGGCTCCAGGTCCCACTCCAGCTCTTACCAAACGCTGGGGAAACCTCAAATGTCCTTCCTGCCGCCCACACCTCCAGCGGTGTGACCCCTGTACAGATCTGTGGGTGGATTTGGTTCACATACATGCAATAGGGCCTTAATCCATGTCCTGGGCTCCCTCCAGGGGGGAACTTTCTCCTCACCAAGGCTGAATCCCACAGGCTGTGCCGAGGTCTCCAATTCCCCTGGCTTATCACAAACAGCCAGGCAGGGCTTCTGCTCCAAACTCACCTGGTGTCCTTCAACTGAGGAGATTTGCTGCAAGTAAACATGGGAAGTGTCAATTTGGCTGGGTTTCTTCACATCACACATCAGCTGTTTTTCCCATGGCCATTCCCTGGCTGGAAGCAGCCGGGGTATGGATGGAGTTGGCTGCTTTTTAAGCAGCAGCCCCAAAACAAAGCTGGCTCCGAGTCGCTGGGGTTTGTGTTGCCTCTCTTGCTTTGAGGGACAGGGATTCCAACAGCAGATAATTAGTTCCTATAAAGACACGTGTGTGTCATGAACTCGTTAGAATCTTTGAGGTTGTCTTTTTCCTTCCCTTTTAAAAGCAAATGATCAAAACGAGAGACGTTTCTAGAAGTGCCCTTGTTAACACGAGGAGAGTGGTGACCCTCTGGGAGGGCAGGGGGGTGTCTCTGCAGCAAGTGAGGTTTTTTATCATCTGGCATATTATCCTCTGTAAAGTTCAACAACAGCACTAATACCTGATTAGTGGGTTTGTGTCCTAAAAATGAAAGGAGGATTAAAAAACAAGGAAGTTTGGCACAGGAATGTAAATTGGCTCTTATTGTCTGTTGAGTTGGGAGAACCCGGGGACAGATGAGCGTTTCTCATTTTATTTACTCTTTTATGTTAATAAGGAGGCTAATTTAAAATGAGAGTCCTTGTAGTTGGTAATAGAGGGGGTTGTGCTGATCAAAAAGTTGTTCCAAAAACCAGAGGGCCGGGATCAAGGACGGGGAAGTTTTGTCACTCGGGTGCTGAGAGTGATT